ATTTACTATGATTTCTACATGTTGTATGTTTTGTTATTAATAAATTAGTTTTGATTATTCCCCTTTAATCATTTAATGCAGGTAGTAACTACAAAATAACAGTAAATCCAGTCCGCATTTATGACGATGTATCTCTGTAGTTGTTCGTAAAATAATTTTTTACTGCGAACTGGTTTAATTTGGGCAAAAAATTCAAGAGACATTTTTTTTTAGAATGAAACAGGCTATCGGAAATAATTTTTTAAATGGTAAAAAAATAATAAGACAAAAAGTTACGTTGGAAATAAATTTTAGGGGTTGCGTTTTCCACCCCTTACAACCATGGGGTAAACCAAATAAATTACTGGCTAAGTGTCTTTTTGGTAGTAGAAAATGTCAGGTTAATTTCAATATTGTAACTTGTTTAGTGCTTGTGAAAAAAATTGTTAAACAAATTTTATGTACCCCCTTTAAGGGGCTGTATCTTAACAAGGGATGCTCCAATGAAGTTTCTTTATATGAAAGATCCTATCTTTTTTTCACCCCCTTAAATGTTTTACACTTATTTAGTTACACCCTGTATATTAGATAAATAAATTCTAGGAAATCTAGGAAATTCTTAGCACTTAAAATGTTTTATGTATTGAATTTAAAAATACATATTAATATGTAAGTTATCTTATTGTGCACTTTACATACATAACTGGAAATAAACAGTTTTATTTTTTCGTTACAGAGAATTCTTATCAAGAGCTTCGAATAAGATACTTTTTTGATGTGCGTTTCATTATTCAAAAAAAAAAAAAATTATGTAGGTATTTAAAATACGTATTTAAAATAGGTATTTAAAATACAAAAGATAACTACTCGAAATATGTTGGGGACGTCCAGACATGAGTCATGTAGAAATATTCAAGTACATATTTACATTTTCCAAATTTTATTATATCTAAGAGATAACGGAAACATGTTTTTATTCAGTGATAACTTAACAGAAGTGGTAAAAATTGTATGATTCCGAAGCATATTTTAATTTAATATGAAGAAAGTAGAGTAGTTTCAAAATCTCATGAGCCGCGAAATTCGCGAAAGGCGTGGCGTATCCGCATAATTCTTCTAATAAGCACGTTGTGAAAACATTGACTCAGAATTAGACCACGTGCCTCATTACAACCAGAAATGAACAAAGGCGCTCGGGCATCATAAAATCAACTGGCGAACGTTCGTTATATATATTTTTATTGCTTAAATTAAAATAATAATGAATTTTATTATGATATTTGTAATAAGATCAAAGGCTTGTTTACTCTACGAGAGCTCGAGATAGACTGTGAATAATAGATGTAATGTTTTTAGGACGTAGAATAATATAGGCGACGGACGATATAGCTCATAAGATTTTGAAACACCTCTACTAATATATATTTGGGAATATTAACATACTGGGTGTTCGGAAATAGTGGTACTTCACTTTGAGGGTAGATTTGTCGACTCAAAATAAGACATATCATTTCAGTTGTCATAGCCGTAGATAAGGGGGAGTTACTCCCTTTTGATGAAAGTAATTTCTACGACTATGATTTTTTGAAATATTTGTATATNGATTTTTTGTATCTCTCACCGTTTTGGTTGTACCCTATAAATCTATAGAAAATCAACCACCCCGTACATAAGTAGGCATTTTGAATATTATTAAATTAAAATTATTTTCAACGTTTTCCTCGGACAAATTAGTGGTCAAGAATTTAAAATTTGTGTTTTAAAAACATAATTGGAAATCATCGTAAGATATATAAAGTGCCGGAAACTGTCAAAAAATTTGTTGAAAATAAAAATATAGTTTCAATCGTAGATTTAAGATTTAGATTTGCTCCATGAATTAATAAATAAAACAATTATTTTACCAGTGAAATTTAAATAAACTACAAAATAATTCAGGCTGATACTGAATATAGGATTCAACAGCTACTAATAATTACTAGTAATGGGTTTTCCAATAGGGATGTCCGGATTTCAATGTATTCTTATGGCAACACTGCGTAATATTATTTGACATGTTATTTGTGAAACATATGCAGTACATATTGCCATTTCATCATGGAAAAGTATACACTCGAACAACGGTTGGAAATTATTAAATTTTATTATCAAAATCAATGTTGTGTTGTGAAAACTTTACGTCAACTCCGAAAAAAATATGGTCGTCGCACTAAACATAATGAACGGTACATTTGTCGTCTTTTAACCAAATTTGAAACAACTTTTCTTTGCACGATGTTGCTGTACCAGTACTTGCAAAATATACAAGAACACAAGAAAATATTGAGGCAATACAGCGAAGTGTAAGATAGGATAGTGAGATGTCCATTTCACGTCGCTCTCAAGCATTAAACACTTCTCAAACCACTACCTGGAAAATTTTACGAAATATTTGGGTTTACATGCATATAAAATTCAATTAACGCAGGAATTAAAGCCTGCTGATCATGCATTACGTCGTGCTTTCGCTGCTTGGGCATTAGAAGAGTTAACAGAAGATCCCTTCTTTTATCTAAAAATCATCTTTACTGATGAAGCGCATTTCTGGTTGAATGATTTTGTGAATAAACAAAATTGCAGAATATGGAGCAATGCAAAATCCTCATGCCGTTGTTGAAAAACCTTTACATCCTGAAAAAATGACTGTGTGGTGCGTTATTTATGCTGGTGACGTTATTTGGTCTTACTTCTTCCAGAATGAACAAGGACAGCATATTACAGTGAATGGTGAACGTTATCCGACTATGTTAACGGATTATGTGTTTCCTAAGCTTGAAGAAAACGATTTAAGTGATTATTTTTTCCAGCAGGATGGTGCCACGTGCCATACTGCCACTGAAACAATGAATTTATTGAAAAATCACTTTGGTGAAGAAATAATCTCCAGAAATGGCCCTATCAATTATCCACCTAGATCGTGCGATTTAACGCCTTCTGACTTTTTTTTTTTGTTGGGTTTTGTTAAGTCACAAGTGTACAGCGATAAGCCAGCAACAATTGGACTCTTAATAGCCAATATTGGTCGAGTAATTGGTGAAATAGAGCCAATTTATGTGAAAAAGTGATGATAAATTGGACCAAACGATTATGGTACGTCCAGCGCAGCCGTGGAGGTCATCTGAATGACATTATTTTTCATATGTAATGGCAATATGTTACCTTTCAAATAAAAAAGAAATTTTAAATTTATCTCTTCAATTGTGTGTTTTCTTTACATTTTAAATCCGGACATCCTTAATGGCAGACCCATTACAAGCCTTGTGAGATAGAGATTTATTTAACATTGCGCAAAACTTTAAGGAGCGACTCCTTGCCAAAATGTATGGAGGGGTCTGCTATATAATGTAAACTTATTTCCAAAAACTGTTAACGGGGATATTTTGTTTTATTTCTCACAGTTGGCAAAAGACAGACAGGGTGTAAGAAGTTTGACTGCCATTACTTCAGCATGAAATATAGTAATCATAAATGAACAAAAAAGTTATATATTACATGGGCGTAAGATTAACAGTTTTTAAAATACAGCGAGTATTAATATTGGGGAGTTTCATCACAACGTGACAACAGCGCTTAACCTAACGCCACACAGCTGGTGCATACCACGTGTGCACGCGGCAAACTTGTCCTACGGAAAAAATGTAAACAACTATTATTGTGAAACATTTAATAAATTTCAAGATAATTGTTTTGAGTTTTTAAATAAATAAAAAAAATGTATCGATTTTGTTGTACGAAGATAGTATTGTGCTTAAATCTTCGTTCGAATTTTAGTAATTATGAGTCTCTCAAAACAGGAACTTAACTTTTAATTAAATTATGAATTTGAAATTAAGATAGGTACCCAAAGATTCACGTGATCCAAATAATCATACGTATTAAGAATAATTTAGGTACTTACCAAAAAGCATAATTCAGTAATTTTTAAACGCACAAGTACAATACAAACTACATCATATGTTCAAAATGTCCATCACCATTTTCGATTCACGCACGACACCTTCGAATCCAATTTTCGTGCACTCGCTGGAAATCACCTAAAGAAAAGGAAATAGTGGTGCGCAAAGAACACTCAGACACGGTCTAATTCCAGATACCAACTGAATTGCGTAACTCTGGACAGCTTAATAGAAGTTTAGGACCCATGTCATATACGGTTTTTTTGTTTATTTTAATGTATTCTATCGTCTGTTAAAATTAAGGCAGTCAAACTCCTAATACCCTGTAGAAGAATGCAATTTGATATGCTACTTTTTCTTATTAAAGGCTTTTCTAAATCGATATTTTTAATTATCCCTCTAAAGGGTTTAAAAATTGCATTGCATTCTTAATGGTTTTTCCGTTACATTTTTTTACTGAAAAAGAAAATCTGTAATGGAAAAAAAACTTTTGACCCAAGGGATCATCTCAAGGAATCGTTCCTTGATGCTTTTCGCAAAGTTAAAGGAAGAAATTACCTGCATATTCATATTTATTTATATTACACCACTTAATAATGTTTAAAAAATATTAAATTAAAATATACTCCTCACAAATATCCGCTACCAGGCAAATTTTAAATAATGTGCCTAGTACCTACATTTCCAATATTAAGAAATATTAGCACATTGTAAATGTATGAAAAGTAAATATACAAATTAGAATAAATATACTTATTGGCGGTTAAATGGCCGTGAATGAAAATTAACACAAACGAATGGCAATTTTAAAAATTTGATACTAGGTATCACTAGTTAGTTTAGATGGCTAGCTAATATAATTCGGTTTCAGTACAACTATGACATAATGTTGGCAACCCTGCTTGCAAGCACATGGTTGAGTAGATATCTATTTAGATTTAGCAGTTTTTCCCTCCAAAACACGTCGGAAAGCAGTCAATGATAGAAGGGCGACAGCTGTGACCCATTGGAAACAGGTTAGTGTTACTATTTGACCACCATAAGTAAACGAAGGATATTATGTTTTCCGTGAATTCCTAGTAAGTTATTATATTGATTGTAAGAGACTCAAATGAGTATGAAGAAAAGAAAATATTATATTGTGACAGATTTTTAACACTAAGATATTAAGAAAACCATTAATTAAAATGATATCAAAAAAATTAATGTTTTCGTGTATCGTATTAAGATTTTCATAGAGCATTGAACTGGTGCTGTAGCGTCATCTGTTGTTGAAATGTTTAGTGCTTGCTAACTCGTGGACGAAAGCAGTAACGCGGTTTAATGAGTAGATTTGTCGAGAGAGGGCGCTGGCATAACTCTGAATTCTAACTATTTCAAAATAGCCGCTCCAATATAATCAATAATTACCTTATATTTAATTTAAACCATTTAATTCTATTTTCTGTTTTTTACCGACGGGAAAGATAATATAAAAATAAATAAGTCGCTTGTTTGGTATGAATTTTTTATTTAATTAATTTTTATATTCTACGGATAATCTTAATATTATCAATATTAAGTGTAATAGATAGAATACTATTTTGGCTTGTAGGGGGTATTAAGAATAAAAAAAAAACAGATAGAAATAGCTAATTTATTAACATATGTATCTACAGTAGCCTAAGCAAGTAATTTTCATAGGTTTCCCGAGCAGAAGCAAAGATAATCGCCATTATACCGTGACTGTTTAATGGGAGGCTATATATCGTAAATTGTTAAAGATGACTTTAATTATAATGAAATGTAATATTTTGCTAAATCATTTCTTGAAATCAAATAACATAAAAACATAAAACACACCACAGAAATGAGAAATGACAATCAGAGATGAATTTTAAATTTTAAATTTTACCGAAGCGTTTGAATTGCCAACCACGTCTATGATGATGTGCTAGAGTTGATGATTGGTAGGTGGTTTAAAAACGGTCGTGAGGACATAAATGATGAGCAACATGTTGACCAACCGAAATTCATGATTACCACATATTCCATCAAAACTGCGTAAATTCATTAAAGATCAGTCAAAATTTTCATTGAGATTCATGAATTGGAATTGAGCATCTCGGAAACATCAATTTATCGCATTTATTATCGCTTTATTTGAGCTACCGAAAAATGCGTGCAGGTTTTGTTACGCGCAATTTGGAAAGGGACTATTTTGAATAAAATAAAATGGTTTTGCCAAAAAAACTATTTGTTGTTCTTACTTTTAAAAAGTCTTGTTCTATTTGGAATGCACCTTAAATACAGGGTGTAATTAAATAAGTGTAAAACATTTAAGGGGGTGCTTCCTCATCGAAAAAAAGATAGGATCTTTCATATAAAGAAACTTCATTGGATCATCCCTTGTTAAGATACAGCCCCTTAAAGGGGGTACATAAAATTTGTTTAACAATTTTTTTCACAAGGACTAAACAAGTTACAATATTGAAATTAACCTGACATTTTCTACTACCAAAAAGACACTTAGCCAGTAATTTATTTGGTTTACCCCATGGTTGTAAGGGGTGGAAAACGCAACCCCTAAAATTTATTTCCAACGTAATTTTTTGTCTTATTATTTTTTTACCATTTAAAAATTTATTTCCGATAGCCTGTTTCATTCTAAAAAAAAA